CTGCAGAAAAGCAGAATAAGGCTGTGAGTCTACCTGGTACTGAGAACTGAGCAAATGAAAGCATTGCCTGCCTGGAAAAGTGTCTGACCTAACAGTGACAGCCTGGGAGGCCTGGAGAGCTCCCAGCATCAGGAATTACTGTTTCTTGTGTGCAAAACTGCAGCTTGCACTGAGAAGGTTACCTGCAGATTTTGGGGATTTATGGTATCAAGATTTCCTCAAACCCCTTCAATTTAATACACAATACATCTCTGCATTACACCAGAATTATGTATAGAGGATGAAAACTTCAAACTGACTCAGATACTTCTTTATATCGTTATATCCATATTACAAATACTATTCAAAGGCAAGAGATTTGTTAGGAGAAACAAGGATCAAAAGACAAACAGCAGCTTTCACCAGAATTCATTTTATTATTTAATTTCAAGATACAATTAACAAATTTTAAAGTGAGGAAAGAGTGAAACTTCTAAAAACGGCTCAAAATGGAACCGGAATGACAAAGATTTCTATTTACCTTAACAATGTAACAAAATTAGAAGTTAAATGTGGTTAGCATGAATGATACAGACTTACAGGTCATATTGGCCAACTCCTCCATGGTCCATGCTCTCACTTAATTGACCCTGGGGATGAGAAGGGTAGAAGAAAGATGAATTAGAAAAGTATTAAAAATAAATGCACTGATGTGGTTTATAACTTTTTAAGTTTGAAAAGACAAAATCTCTATATAATTAAATAGGTCAGGAAGAAAAAATTATCAGCAGAATATCAAAAAATCTACTAAATTCTGTGCCAGATTTGCAATACTGTCATGTGTCTCAAACAGTGACACAGGGAACCACTGTCTTACTTGGCTGCATTGTTATTCTATCACTTAAATATCAGAGGTACAATTTCACACCCCCAAGTGAACTTGAAAAATGTTAAGGTGCTGCAATTTTCTTTAAAATTCCTCTTACACAGAAATTTTCGAGTCCTATTGCAGTACTGTGCAAATAAGACCAATAATAAAGATTATGTTGATGAACTGGGACTCATCTGCACTGGAAACAAACAATCTGCTGAGAAAGTTTGGTTATTTTATATTGGCAAGTCAAATCCCAGTCATGGTGAAAGAATTCAACTTCACTCTGATGTTAAACACATTTTCTGACCAACAATCAGTACTGAAGTTCCTGCACTTCAGCATCAGAACCAGTCACCATTAAGGAATGTGGTTTAATTACGAAGAGATATTTCCTTCAAAGAATTTTTAACCTGATCCCTTCCCTCTAGCTGTGGCTCTGCACAGCAAAAGAAGTGCAAAGGCAGCAGACAGCTGGAATGAATACAAATAGAATGCCATGGGCAAGCTTCTAGTGAGCTCCAGACTGTACTGTCACATTCTTATTTATAAAAATATGGACATAAAATAACAACTGTGAGTTCCTGGTGAACAGCCTGGAACCTACAGGCTGAATATAAATATATTGAGTGACCTGTGAAATTCAGAGAAGAAAAAGAAAACCCACTGAGACGTGAAAAAAAACAGCCCAAGCCAAGGACTGCATTTTAAAATATTATCCAAGTGAAAAAAACACTAACCAAAGAAAACTCAAAACTTTCAACAGTTTCAGTGTTAAAGTTTACAGAGGCTGGTTTATTTTGGGTGATCTAAAGGGAAATTTAACTCTTGGATCCACCTACTAACACCACAGGCAATTAAGGAGTCCAAAAGATCAGGTTTGTTTCCAGCTCAGAGAGCTGCCAGCTCATGTCCTCCTGTTGACATTTACTAGAGAAATCCAGCTTATTGACATGTTTCACAATAAAAGCCACTAAAGCTGCCCTTGACCCCACTCTTAGATGCCAACAAATGAATTTTAAAAAATTCAACCCAGAGAATAAACACCCCTCAGTTCCCAGAGCAACTCCTCCTGTTACCCAATGGTTCTGGCAAAGTTAATGTGTGCTGCTCTTGTTCCTGTGAACTTTGGGTTTCATACTCAGTATTAATTTAACCAAAATTCACTTCAGATACCATTCTGGTATTTTTTCAGGGTTTCTTCTCATTTCACAACACCAAGAAAGGCAGTGGGAAGCCACCAGCCCTTCAGTCCATACATTGTTTCATTTATTACAAACACCTAAATTAAGGCTGAGGTTTTTTTTCACCATAATAATTAGTGCAAACAACCACATGGCTTTTGAGGAAACTCCTTCTAAACAACGCTTCAGATTTTCCAGGATGGCTCTGCCTACTCAAACCCATGACTGAGCTCTCTGGGCTCCTCTTGGACTCAGTTTTTGGGAGGTACCTGGGACCAATGCCACAAATCTGACAACACAGTCCTGAGAGTCCCCCTTGCTCATTCCTTGATCTCCACTGCTCTGGCTGCATCCTCTGAGCCTTGCAGGACACACAAGCTGTGGAGATAACTTCCACTGGAATGCTGCTCCCCTTACACATTCCTGATGTTCCCCTCATTCCTTGCTCTGACATTTCCTGCTGTTGGGTTGTTTTCATCTCAAACCCATTCTCACCCTCCTTTATCTGTTTGCCAAAAGGCACCTGAGACCAACCAAGGTTGCCAACATCCATGAAAATGTCAGTCATGGCAAGGTTTTAAAATCCACAATGGTTTAATTGTTCCCTGAGACTGAATTACAGGAACACAAGAGAGAACAAACTCAACTTTCTTGCCACCTTGCTCAGAACCTGTTCTTGGCAGCATTAACAGGGTGATGCAAGCGGTTTTCCAAAGCCAAGTGTTTTATTGATTATTGAGGTAACAGACAGAGCTTTTCCTGCAGATTGAGAAGCTTTCAAGCCTTCAGTTGTCAAACAACGTCTTTACAGATTCCATGGAGTGTGGGGAACAGAATATGTGCTTATCTCCTGGAGGGAAGTACCTGGAGAGAATCTACAGCAAACATGGAAGGAACTTTTTACAAGAGCATGGAGATTTAGATTAGATATTAGGGGGAAATTCTGCCCTGTGAGGGTGGTGAGGCACAGGGTGCCCAGAGAAGCTGTCCAAAGACAGGGCTTGGAGCAACCTGTGAGAGTGGAAGGAGTCCCTGCCTGAGATGATCTTTAAGGTCCATTCCAACCCAATTTGTTCCACAATTCCATGATCTCAAAGACTTCAAGACTGACATTAGTATTTAAAGAGCAGAAAATAAATGCACTGGCAGTTTAAGCAAGAGCAAACGGTTAATGTACGAAACAATATCAAAAAGCGACAGAAGATCTAGAAAAACATAAACAGAGATGATGCAATAAAATCCTCCTAAAGCTTTGACAGGATCTAGATGAACATCACGAGCTGCGAACTGCACATTATCAGGTGAGCTGCTCACGAAAGCACGAGTTGCAAACAGCTGCTGACCCGCCTAACGCAGCATTTTAAACCTCTGCTCTTCATTTTGGCGCGAGAGCAGCGACTTTACACGGCTCCAGAAAGATCGGCACTTCTGCACTGACGTTCAGACATGTGACAATAAATAAATCATAATAAAAAACCACCCCCGCTGCGGCGCTCGTGCCGGGATCCCAACGCCGAAGTTCTGCGGGTAAGAGCTGCGGGCCCGCTCCGGGCGCGGGTGTCCCGGGGCAGCGCAGGCGCCTG